ATAATCGCACCAACTGTTGTCACCTTCTCACCAAGCTGCTTGGCAATGGTCTTGTAGCCCATTCCAGCCTTGTGTAGGTCTACAATCTTGTCCCTGACATCCTTGGAGAGCTCTTTGGTCTTGGCCATGGTGGAGAGTTTGTAATCTGATTGATTGATTGCTTCTGTGGACAGGTGTCTTTTATTCAGGTAACAAGCTGAGATTAGGAGCACTCCCTTTAAGAGTGTGCTCCTAATCTCAGCTCGTTACCTGTATAAAAGACACCTGGGAGCCAGAAATCTTTCTGATTGAGAGGGGGTCAAATACTTATTTCCCTCATTAAAATGCAAATCAATTTATAACATTTTGACATGCTTTTTCTGGATGTTCTTGTTGTTATTCTGTCTATCACTGTTCAAATAAACCTACCATTAAAATTATAGACAGATCATTTCTGTGTCAGTGGGCAAACGTACAAAATCAGCAGGGGATCAAATCCTTTTTTTCCCTCACTGTACGTGTAAACTGGGTCATCCGCCTTTGTCTCGGTCGCCCTGGCTACGCGTCTCGGCCCAAACAGGTTCCTTCAAGTTGTTCGACCTCCGAATTTTTTGTTCGATGTCCGGGGCAAAAAATGGTCGAAAATTTCGTTCGATCACCGAATTGTTCGAATTCTGGGGCGTTCGATCTCCGAGGTTCTACTGTACATACATACACCTACGTTACTACAAATTGTGTGGATCACTGCAAAGGAAAACCACTTTTGCAAGTGGAATACTTTGTACTTATGCAATTAGAACGTGTTTACTTGTTCTATTTCACCTATTGATCTTCTTACCGTTCCTATACTTTGCGCTCCTGTCGTTTGTTGTGGTGTTTGTTGTTGTAACGTTCTGACCCCGTGCCCCTACTGGACATCTGCGGGAAAAAAGATACTTCATAGCTCATCGGATTCCTCCAGGATAAACAAAGATTCTGATTGTGTATGCCACGCAAGGTTGGACTGTAAGAAAAGTAAAAATGCTAGCACGATCAGTGTTTAAGATAAATAGGTAATTTATGACTAAAAAAAGAAGATTCTGCAGCCCTGATAAAGGACTCAACCCCTCATGGATCCCAAAGGTCAACATCCAGCTTGCAAACAGCCCCCCCCCCCCACCGCCGTGTGACCAACTCGTCCGGACAGTGTGGTTTTATTTTATTAAACCTACTGAAAGTCTAAGGGAAAATGACTTTTGCATCCCAAATTAGTGGCAGACTGTTATTGGCTTTAATTGATAGTTTTGAAAAGCAAAACGTGTGATGGGTTCAATCGCAGTTTCAGTGAATATTTGTAATTATTTTTTTTTATCTGTTTCCAGCAAATGGCCTGGGTAGGCATTCAATCTGAGAGAAAGTGTTGCAACGTATCCTGAAATGAAGTGTGTTGCCGGTTCATGTATCTCCACGGATCGCAGGAGGTGAACCATGGCACCTGTTCACCGTGTTTCACGTGCACCCAACGTCTCATGGCACAATACTGATATAAAATAAAAACTATACAGTTTCATATTGTGGGTTCTTTCGGTAAAGTCACGTAGAAGGGAAACAATAAAATAATTAATATATATTTATTATTATGTTTACAAAAAATAATTATTTTATTAAAATAATTTAAATATATATTTTATTATTATTTTTATTATTTTATTGTTTCCCTTCTACGTGACTTTACCGAAAGAACCAAGAATATGAAACTGTATAGTTTTTAGAAGGGAAACAATAAAATAAAAAATATATATTATTATTTTTTCTTATTTTATTGTTTCCCTTTTACGTGACTTTACCGAAAGAACCAAGAATATGAATCCCTGCAGTTCAGAAAGCTTTAAATCAAAAATTAAAAACATTACAGTTTATTTTTACTTCACCAGGTAAGGCCCACTGAGCTACATAGGTATTTTTTAGAAGCGACCTGGCCACAAATGATAGCTCAACAAAGTGGCTTATCATCACGCGGAAATGAATGGCGGCTAAATACTCTTAATGCACGTCGATTCTAAATGTGGAGAGAGAAACTGGAGGACCCGGAAGAAAATCACCGCGACCACGGAAAGAGAGAGACGCAAACTCCAAATATACAGCAGGCATCGTCAGGGTCGGGATCGAACCCACGACCTCCAGTATACCAGGCGAGGCAGTTAACATCTCACCACCGAAGCGAAATGTTAACGACCTCGCCTATACATACTTTAATTACATAGAACTCCTCTTACCCACGGCACTATTATCCACGACTCCTATTATCCGCGGCAGCTCTCGGGTTCATGAAAACTCCCATGATCTGCGGCCCTATTTCTTCCTATTATTCGTGACCATCCGTGAGTTTACCCATAATGCAAAGTGAATCGGCTTCCTAAGATTCGCAACAACAAAAAATGCGAATAAAAGGAGTCGTGCGGCAAATTCATCCTACTATCCGACGGGTTATCTGCAATTGTTTTTTTTACCCCCACGAATGAGAAGTAAATTTGCGGATAACCCCAACGTTTAAACAGGGTCCGCGGTATTGACTTCCCCCCATATCACCACGGATAAGATTATTTCTCCTGCATGGCATTACACCCGTGTATCAGTGCGGATTACTTCAGCATTTCAATAAGTTTTGCAGACATATTAAGTTGTTGTCAGGACGGTATAACGTCTCGCGGATCCACATGTGGAGTGCGCATCGAAGGAATAAATCGACCACGTGTGGCGACGGCGTCTGTGACGAATGCCCTGCTCTCTTGTCACAGCGTGGCTTCCAGGACACGGCATATGCAGTAACAGGTGAAGAATGTTGCCTCGTGTGCAGGAGAATATGTGCCCAGTGTGCAAAGTGCAACAAAAAAAAACCTTGAGGCTTTAACAAAATGGCAAACGGCCAATCTAACAGCGACGAAACTGTGTGTTTAGCTTTGAGAAAATCTGCCGGTCGTGTTATGACAGATTTATGAGCCAGCACACATCTTGCTCATTAATAAGATTATTTTTTTGCGATGTTTAAGTCCAACTGAAAGGAGCCCTGTGGTTGATTACGCTCGGCTTGCTTGTAGTTACACTTTATGCAGTTAAATCTAACCATACTGTATGATATATTTGTTTCGAAAAAAGTATTTTTTCTGGCTGGCTGGCTGCCTACCCATCATTTATTGCTTTCCTCTTTCCATCCTGTCCCCTGTAATGGCCATGTCCAAAGGACGGTCACATCTGGAGGGAGCAGCGGATGGACGGTCACGTCCAAAGATTTGCACGTTGCTAGTTTGTAAGTCAAATCGTTATAAAATAGTGTAGTAATTCGTTCCGTGTGATTTAGCTATCAAGGTGTTCCGAACTACACTTGCGTAGCGAGCCCGGGGAGCCACGGTGGTCAGAACGCGAAGTTTGAAGTCTAAATGTTGCGAGTTCAAATGGCACTCGAGAGCCAACTTGGCTCCTCGTCCATCCGAGATCAGTTAATTATTCCTACCCTGAAAGAAGGCAGCAATGGTCACGGTTGGATGCGTGTGGTGCGAAATAGTTCAACATACAGAGTGCCACGGTGGAGAGATGTTAACCACTTCGACTGGTCTACAGGAGGTCGTGGGTTCGACCCTGATGCCTGCTGTAAATTTGGAGTTTGCATGTCTCTCTCCCCGTGGTCGCGTGGATTTTTCTCTGGGTCCTCCGAGTGCTCCCTCCACATTTAGAAACATTTGTTTACAGCATTCGGCTGCTATACATTACCACATGATAAGCCACTTTGTTGAGCTATCATTTGTGGCCAGGTCGCTTCTGAAAAAGAGCTGTATAAGTCAGTGGGCCTTTCCTGGTAAAAAAAAAAGTTTAATTAAGTTTTACATGGTGTACAGAGACTAGGGTTGTTAAACGGCGACCGGTCACTACTCGTATTATAGAAATTCGGCAAGCACTAACGATTTCCTTTTAAATGTGAGGAATGCACCGATTGGCACGAACGGGATGTACAAACGGCGCGGTGCGCGTGGCTGATTTGGCTATCGGCAGCTGTCTCGCAGCACCTCAGCCTACGGCAGGACGAATGAAGTAATACAATGTTTTCTGTAGATGGAACAGTTTGTATTGTCGTGAAAGGCAAAAGCCGTGAGAACCGACGGGAGGAAACCACTGAGACCTCTGTCACCTCCCCTCTTCGCTCCGCTAACTTTGAACAAATGGCATCGGTGCAGCGGTGACCCAGACTGGTGACTGTGAGAGAAGATACTGAAGATCCGAGACCAGTGTCGTCATATTCCTGCAGGCCGCTGTTTTGTATGCATCGGTGTTTAGTGTTTCACGGTAGGATGCATGACTGTTTTAATAACCGTTACACGCAAGAGACAAAGATCCCCCTTATAACCTTAAACAGATTGTTGGGGCACGATCTATTTGCGAACGCCAACGAGGGCTGGCACGGCACACAACGGGGTGGTTGGCCAACACCACATCCGGCCACCTTAGTTTCCCCATCACTGATGTTTTATACACTGCACCGGATACTCATTTAAGGCTGTGCTGACCAAGTGGAGGCCCAGGACTGGTTCAAATATCCACTCTTATCGGTTGTGAGCGGGAATCGAACTCGGATCGCCGGGTTTCGTGGCGCAGTGCCATATCGCACTGCACCACCGCTCCCCGCAGATAACACTTTCAAAAACCACACAAGGCCACAGGCACGGAATACATCTGGTGACAAATTATAGGAATGTCCTGGTGCCGTCCGTTTTTTTAAATATATTTTGGCTGAGGTAAGATTACGTACTGTAAATCTAAGTTTTAGTTCATCAATCAATATTCACGTACGAATGTGTTTGACAAACGCGCAAAGATTAATTGTTGATTTTTATTTTGGCAAGATCGCGTGAGTAAAATGTGTCGTGCACCCTGCTCCACCCGACGCAGCCAATCAATGCATCTGTCAAGTGAACAAACGTGCCAATGTGTAACTGCTTCCGCAGCACCACCGGTTCTGTTGGGAGAAAATGTTTACGTGAACAACATCGTCAGGAATCTTTTTTTTTATTTTACATGAATGGGCAACGCCGGTGAATGAATGGGGGATTTCACTGGTGCTCACCCTGCCACCCTGTGCCGTCAGGTCGAGTATGACCTCTGGTGACATCCACCACCAGACTCCGCCATCCACACCACCTGTCTCTGGCTGCCTTTCGTAGCTGGGTTAGTGTGTAAGGCCAGCGGTGTTCTTGATGTCGTCCATCCACCACCTCCAAGGTTGACCTCTGCCCCTGCTACATTCTCCATTCCCAAGCAAAGACCGATTCCTCGAGTCCAGAGGGCCTCACAACGTGTCCAACGTGATGTCAATTTCTGCTTCACGAATAAAGCCTCGAGTGGAAGAGTGGGATCGATCTCTCTCGAGACGCACATGTTTCATATTTTGGCTTTCCATGCTATACGTAGCACGGGTGCTACGGACTTATAAATGTAGATTGAAAATTCAATTTCTTTAAAACCGCTTTTTGTGTTTAGTTTGTTGTCCTTCCCTTGCCCCCGCACCTCCAATTAACACGGTAGGCGACGTACGGTGCGAAAGAAGTTCAACATACATACACACAATGTGACTGCTAATATGTTTTAGTCGGGACTGCAGAATGATCTGGCCAGGCTGTTGCCCTTCACTCCCCCGACACGTGGCGCACCGTCAAAGGGCAGCAATGTTCTTGCCCGCCAAGACAAACGTTCACGATGAATTCCATCGATTCCCATGAGCTAGTCGAGACAACGAAGTGCACGGTGAGGAATACGTGCGATGAGAACGAGAGAAGTTCAACACACATTACATTGGTGGTTGAGAGGAGAGCGGCGCGCCTCTGGTAATGATAAACACAATGGGGGGGGGGGGGGGGGCATCTGGGCATTTGTAATTCACGCGTTGCACAAAACCCCCTCGGGGTGAGAGGAAGGCGAGGGGTGTGGAACGTGGCTCCGCGTGACGCACAGCGGCGTCGCGACGGCCACGCCTGGTGCACCTGGGACCGCGTGGCCCCTCCTCGTGGCCACAGGGGGCCGCGTGGCCCCTCCTCGTGGCCACAGGGGACCGCGTGGCCCCTCCTCGTGGCCACAGGGGACCGCGTGGCCCCTCCTCGTGGCCACAGGGGACCGCGTGGCCCCTCCTCGTGGCCACAGGGGACCGCGTGGCCCCTCCTCGTCCTCCTCCTCGTGAGGTGTGGAGCGGTCTCCCTCGCTCATCCGCGGACTGGCACGGCGGAGAGTTGCTGCCTGCTGCATGCGACGAGGATTGAGAGATGCAACATTTTGGGTTGGGGAGTGGGGGGTGAGGCAGGATTATTGCTCGATAGCTTAAATTAGATGCGCTAATTTAAAAAGCAAATACGTAAAGTACGAGTGGATACATGATTGGTAGAGTGAAGAGAAGGGGATATGCAAACCTATTCGATTAACTGATTTTTTTAAAAGAAATTATTAACTAGCATCCAGCCACACATCCTTTGTACGTGACCGTCTGTCCGTCCCTCCAAGCCAGCCAGCCAATCTTTTCCCTATCAAACCATGAAAGTAACCATTCTTTGTACGACGGTCTTTCCCCCACCCCCAACTTCCCTACCTCCCCACCCCTGGGTGCCCCCCTCTTACGTGACAACACCTATAGCCCCCCTCCCACCCCCTCGTCGCCCCCTTACCCCCCCCCCCCCCCCCCCCCCATATGTGTCTCCACAAGGTACACATCTCCATATATAAAAGGCAAAGTTGTGATCATGTGTGTCTGTTCAAAATGTTTAGTGTACTTCCCGACATGCAACAAACTTGAAATTTGCCATGTGGGTACTTTCCAGACTGTACACCATGCAAAAATTATAAAAATACACTTTTTTGGGGGGGGGGGAGGTGGGGGGGGCTCAATAATGTATATATTTTTTGCACGGCAAGTGAGCTGTGACGTCAAATCTGTCATGTGACCCGCGCATGTGGAAGAGTAACGCATTGTAGTGTAGTGGTTAGCGAGCTGCGCTACGATTCCCGCTCACGGCCACCAGCGGTGACGATTATTTGAACCGGTCCTGGGCCTCCCCTAGCTCTACTCAGCCTCAAACGAGTAACTGGTGTGATGTGTGAACATCGCCACTGGGGAGACAAAGGCGGCCGGGCGTGGTGAATCCAAGTCCCGGGCGAAGCTGGGTAGTATCGCTAGTGTAACATAAGAGGGTGAGTGACCAGCACCACACAAAGGTCGCCTTTGACTCCCCGATGCTGATGCTTTACACACCACGCCAGGCACCTATTTAAGGCTGAGTCGACCGAGGTAAGGCCCAAGACCGGTTCAGATATTCGTCACCGATGTTGGCCTTGAGCAGCATTCATACTCGGTTCACTGGGTTCGTAGTGCAGTGCACGAACGACAACACTACCGCTCCCCACCACCGCATTATAACAGCCGCATATCATTACGTCTAACACCGCGTCATCATCTCCATCATCTCCATCATGATTATCATCACCATCTATCTCATGGATTCCCCCCCGCCGTCCCACTCTCGTGGTACAATTCGGTCACAACACGCGTACATTAACAACATTTCAGTACAGGCTTTTTCATGTGCGCTTGTACATGTGTATGCCGTAACTTTCCACCGCCCTTGTAGTGTACGTGCTACTTATTTGCAGAGCTTTGGGGTCCTTTGTAGGAAGATGGTTGTCGCTCGAGAGGAAAAGTTAGAATTCTTAACCATTTAAAACGAGAGGCTACCTCCCGCAGGACTTGTGGGGCCAGAGAGGCGGAAATCAACAAAAAAACACAATCTAGTGTGGGATAGAATTCTCGAGTGGAATTTTAATTAAAACGCCTAAAAGACCGCACTTTAACTGGGTTCTATCTATTAAATGGTTCTGCGCATCTAAATAGTGTTTACATTCGCTCAGCATAGCAATTACCGTTGAAACAACCGCTTATTATGGAAACCAATCACGTCAGGAATGTCTGTCCAATGAACAGAGAGCAGTGTGGAGAGAGAAATTGCCATTTTTGAGCGCTCAAATGTTGACTTAAGGGTGGGGATTTGGGAATGTTGCCACCTATTAGATTCTGAACATGGTATGTTCTGTAACACTTGAGGCACACATATATCGTATTGTCCTCGAAATAAAGTGGACGGGGTATTAGGTTTACCACTTACCTGGGTTTGACCCAGATAGTCCGGCATTTGGCATCAATGTGTTCAGGTGGCAGGCATTTATTCGTACGAGGGTTTGATGGTATTCTGTTGAAATTCTATTACATCGGATCTCAAAATAGTTTTCAGCTCAACGTTTTGAAAGAGATACTATTCCTAATGGATAGGATTCATAAAGCTCCGTATTCACAAACGTCCAATCATGCCTTTCTTGTTTTTTTTATGTGGATCCAAATTTTGGGGCAATTTATTCCTTTAGCTGAGCTGTCTTTTATGCACATCCACTCCCTCTCTGTCGAACACCCTTATACGTTGTGCGAACTGCTCAGATTCTGCGAGCCTCAACAAGCCAAACTCAAGCAAGCCTGCATCACGTTGCACTGCCTCTTTGCACGAATACCTTGTTGAAATAGCGTGAGCGCCAATTAAATAGGCGCCACGTGGGAACGATTCCGAGTGAAGGTGCACAGTTGCCAAGGCTTCCGGCACTTTGTTGACTCTTCACACTGCGATCAATGTTGGAGTCTCACTCCTCTCCGATCGCACTGCCTTGATTGTTATTGCGATCAAATACCATCGTGGCTTCCGCACATGGGCGCAGTTAACTTCACCCATGTACTCGTTGATGCAAACACTCTCCCAGTGAGAATAATGAGATGGACACATTTTCAAGAGATATATTCCATTATCATGGGACCTTTTTTTTTGCCAGTATCAAAGTATGAAAATTAAGACTAGGCGTTACCCTTTCTGGCGATACAACAGGCGTTAAGATGTTCAAACACCAAATTGATACCATTGTTTATGTTTTTGGATTGTTAATGTAATGGTGTTATCACTTCACGACAGTGATTCCCAGCTGGAATTCAATTTCGGCACAAACATCCCAGGTGTACTTCTCGGTGTTTTAGGAATTAGAGGAAATAATGTCGTGGCTTTGTTCCCCAACACACCGGTGTGCTGTACTCGTAACGAATTGGCCACGTTCTGTTTACGTGACAAACCTTATTAATTGGCTTGTCGGGTGGTGGCGGGTTTAACAACACTACTTCAGCACAACCAGTGCGTTGGAGACTAAAACCACAACATTTACAATTTCAGTACGACGTTTCGCTGGTCATTACAACTAGCTTCATCGGGCGATTTGAATAACTTCACTGGAACAGATGAACTCCGTGCCGTTCAGTGGCCTACCTAGCACCCCCCCAACCACCCACTACCCAGCCTGGGCTATATTTACTCTCATCCGAGTAATATATTGTTTATAAAAAATATATTTTTTACGTACTTTATGATGTAGACTTGAAGTTTTCGTGACTGCAGGGATCTTTTGGTAAAGTCACGTCGGTAGAAAATAAAACAAAATAAAATGAAATCACATTTAATAAATTAAATCACATTTAATTTATTTTATTTTATACCTATGTGAGTTTACCGAAAGAACCAAAGAGTACTCTATGATGTCAACGGCACGTTCCGGACATGTGTGTTCTAAATATGACTTGTTGAATGTACCGTATCCTCCAGTCTTATCTGTTGCAACCCTCGAGACAAATAGACAAACACGCACCCAAATGAGGTGTCCGCACCACCTCCTCCTCCAATTTTCAAATTTAAACACGGCCCGCAGCGTTTGTTCAAACTTACGTGTGTGCAGTTGCAGCATTTGATTTCTGCAACAACAACAACAACAACAAAACCCCTGAATTTTTTTTTACTTCCTGCTCAAACGATACACACGACACGTACACCGCTCTGCCTCCAAATACACCCGAACCAAAGTCACCGTCAGGTGGGCCACGGTCGGCCCATGAGGATCATCAGCAAGTTCAGGGTGTCTGGAAGAGAGCAACAACGACTGTGAGAATGGCAATGAGCCCGGTATTTGCTAATGCAGCCCCACGCCGTATCACAGGCGGAGTTTGACTTTTATATTTGGGGGGGGGGGCGGGGGGTGGGAGGGCAGGGGTCGGCTTTGTCCCTCACATTCGGAAAAGTGGGTGCATGTAATTGACTTATTTTAATCTTAATTGGAAACTACTGAAAATAAATTAATGAAGGTGCCCATGGGGAGGGGGCAAGCTTCCCCTGCCGAGGGCTCATTCCCACGCCCCCCCCCCCCCCCACCTTCTAAGTTTTTAGACAAGTGTAGTGTGGTAAAATACGCGGTGCCACTGCTGCCCCGGGCAGGCAGGTGCGCGTGTGCAATGTAAGGTTTCACGTGCAAACCTCCACCTCTTTAACGGGAGATTCGGTTGCAGACGGGTGGATCGTACGCTGGCACCGGAGGTGTTGCCAGGGAGACGTGCGATGAGGAGCGACGATTGATGGCCTGACAGGCGCCGGCCTGTCGGGCCCTAAAGAGGCACAAGGGAGGAGCTGGATAATCGGGAGGAGGATGTAAGGGGGCGCGTGAGAGCGGAGCGGGAGTTCGGGGTTCTGGGACCAAGGTGAAGACATCTCGCCGCTGCCGCTCAAGCCAGGGACGGATCTCAACCCTCACGAGTTGCCGGGCGCGTGATGGTTGATCCCCCCGCCCGGATCGGACGAGTGAGTGGGCTTGAGGGAACGTAGGCGAGGGCAGCAGCGCAGAGGGAGAGCAGCTCTGTGTGCAAGCTCTGTGTGTGGGAAGCTGTGTGTGAGCTCTGTGTGTGGGAAGCTGTGTGTGAGCTCTGTGTGTGGGAAGCTGTGTGTGAGCTCTGTGTGTGGGAAGCTGTGTGTGAGCGCTGCTGTGTGCAAGCTCTGTGTGTGGGAAGCTGTGTGTGAGCTCTGTGTGTGGGAAGCTGTGTGTGAGCTCTGTGTGTGGGAAGCTGTGTGTGAGCGCTGCTGTGTGCAAGCTCTGTGTGTGGGAAGCTGTGTGTGAGCTCTGTGTGTGGGAAGCTGTGTGTGAGCTCTGTGTGTGTGGGAAGCTGTGTGTGAGCTCTGTGTGTGGGAAGCTGTGTGTGAGCTCTGTGTGTGGGAAGCTGTGTGTGAGCGCTGCTGTGTGCAAGCTGTGTGTGTGGGAAGCTGTGTGTGAGCTCTGTGTGTGGGGAGCTGTGTGTGAGCGCTGCTGTGTGCAAGCTCTGTGTGTGGGAAGCTGTGTGTGAGCTCTGTGTGTGGGAAGCTGTGTGTGAGCTCTGTGTGTGGGAAGCTGTGTGTGAGCGCTGCTGTGTGCAAGCTGTGTGTGTGGGAAGCTGTGTGTGAGCTCTGTGTGTGGGAAGCTGTGTGTGAGCGCTGCTGTGTGCAAGCTCTGTGTGTGGGAAGCTGTGTGTGAGCTCTGTGTGTGGGAAGCTGTGTGTGAGCTCTGTGTGTGGGAAGCTGTGTGTGAGCGCTGCTGTGTGCAAGCTGTGTGTGTGGGAAGCTGTGTGTGAGCTCTGTGTGTGGGGAGCTGTGTGTGAGCGCTGCTGTGTGCAAGCTCTGTGTGTGGGAAGCTGTGTGTGAGCTCTGTGTGTGGGAAGCTGTGTGTGAGCGCTGCTGTGTGCAAGCTGTGTGTGTGGGAAGCTGTGTGTGAGCTCTGTGTGTGGGAAGCTGTGTGTGAGCGCTGCTGTGTGCAAGCTCTGTGTGTGGGAAGCTGTGTGTGAGCTCTGTGTGTGGGAAGCTGTGTGTGAGCTCTGTGTGTGGGAAGCTGTGTGTGAGCGCTGCTGTGTGCAAGCTGTGTGTGTGGGAAGCTGTGTGTGAGCTCTGTGTGTGGGGAGCTGTGTGTGAGCGCTGCTGTGTGCAAGCTCTGTGTGTGGGAAGCTGTGTGTGAGCTCTGTGTGTGGGAAGCTGTGTGTGAGCGCTGCTGTGTGCAAGCTGTGTGTGAGCACTGCTGTCTGCAAGATGTGTGTGTGGGAAGCTGTGTGTGAGCTCTGTGTGTGGGAAGCTGTGTGTGAGCTCTGTGTGTGGGAAGCTGTGTGTGAGCGCTGCTGTGTGCAAGCTGTGTGTGAGCGCTGTTGTGTGCAAGCTCTGTGTGTGGGAAGCTGTGTGTGAGCGCAGCTGGGTGCAAGCTCTGTGTGAGTGCTGCTGTGTGCGAGCTGTGTGTGAGCGCTGCTGTGTGCAAGCTCTGTGTGTGGGAAGCTGTGTGTGAGCGCTGCTGTGTGCAAGCTTTGTGTGAGCGAAGCCTCTGTGTGAGCGCTGCTGTGTCCAAGCTCTGTGTGTGGGAAGCTGTGTGTGAGCTCTGTGTGTGTCCAAGCTCTGTGTGTGGGAAGCTGTGTGTGAGCGCTGCTGTGTGCAAGCTCTGTGTGTGGGAAGCTGTGTGTGAGCTCTGTGTGTGGGAAGCTGTGTGTGAGCGCTGCTGTGTGCAAGATGTGTGTGTGGGAAGCTGTGTGTGAGCTCTGTGTGTGGGAAGCTGTGTGTGAGCGCTGCTGTGTGCAAGCTGTGTGTGAGCGCTGCTGTGTGTGGGAAGCTGTGTGTGAGCGCTGCTGTATGCAAGCTCTGTGTGTGGGAAGCTGTGTGTGAGCGCTGCTGTGTGCAAGCTGTGTGCAAGCTCTGTGCGAGCGAGGCTTCTGTGTGAGTGAAGCTGTGTGTGAGCGCTGCTGTGTGCAAGCTTTGTGTGAGCTGCTGCCTGTGTGCGGAGCTGTGAGTGCGGAGCTGCTGAGAGGAAGAGCTGTCGCAGGCAGGTCAGCGAGGTGTAAAGTAGATAGGGGAAGTTGGTTAACAAAAGTGATCGTATAGACAGAGATGGGAGTGCCTACAACTGGTGCGAGAGAGAGTAATAAAGTGTAAGCAGGTGACTTGGAACAACGTGTCCGATTGAGTGATTTTACACGACACTACACAAGTACAACAATTATCCACAATATATTCTTAACTTAGCGGTGTGCTGAACGAGCAACGAATTGGCACGTTTTGTGTACGCAACAAACCCTTACTAATTGAGCTGTGTCGGGTGGTGGAGGGTTTAACGTCGCATTTATATTTACGCGATATATCCCAAAAAACCTCGATTGTGGATTATATTGGTGGTGAAAGCCTACCGTGTGTTAAACGCCGCGTGTTTTCAGAACGCGAATTGGATGTAACCCGATGAACATATTCGGGAACACATTATTTTTTCATAACACACATGCGAATGGGACATAACGTGATTGAGTGAACAGAATTACGTAGCATCGCACAAGGCAGTGGGATGCTGCTGGATGCTTCTAGATGCTACCCCTGCGCCTCAGTCTTCATTAAACCTGCATACGCATCTCACGTGTCATCGCGGACTGCGTTTTACTCTTTATTATAATTAATATATGATAACGCGATTTGTCCATAACACGGTGTTCTTCAGGATCGCAACTACCACCGCGTTATGGGAGAACAGACTGTACGTTATAGACATAGGGCATGAGGAGTGCTCGAGCAGAATGAACCACAGAAAACAAATCAGATTACATTTAGTTATGCTCAGTCTGTAAAGTGTTGAGCACATGTTTAAAGCCTGTTTAACATTGGCTGTCCCTTGCCACGTGTGAGTTTTTTTACATACCCCCCTTTTTTGAACAAGAGCTGTACCAAGGCAATATTATGGGCCCTTTTGTGATTCTGACCGATGTCGAATGTAAGTCTATGAATGCCCTGAGTGGGCTCTACTTTACAGCACTTATTTTATTCGTGGTGGTCAACAGATGCAGGCTAGGAGTACAGTATACCTGTTAAAACTATTCAAACATTTATTTCTATAATTTACCAGGTAAGACCGGCTGAGCTATACAGCTCTTTTTCAGAAGTGACCCGGCTTTCACAAACGATAGCTTAATGAAGTGGCTTTTGACGTGGACATTTATAGCAACCAAATACTCTAAACGCGTGTTGATTCTAGGTGTGGAGGGAGAAACCGGAGGACTCGGGGAAAAAATCCATACGACCACGGTGAGAACATGCTATCTCCAAATATAAAGGCGTGGGAGTTAACTTATTGTGGCTTGCTTAAATGATACGTGTTTTTTACTCACTGATGCTTCGTCACAGCTCGGTTCAGGGGCATCTTGCCCTAGCACACACAAAGGAAGGTACAATGTGGTAATTAAGTTATTGATAGTAATGCTTCAAATGCACCTGTTCACTCCGGCACACAATGACGTGCCAATTGCTAGTGTCAACGAGAATCATTTACATTCACACAAATTAGCCAATGGCGAAAATATCTGGTGTCAGTGCATTGCATTTTCAAGGGACTCATGTTGGATTTGAAATGGGGAACTAGGGAAGCAAAAACTGAGGGTAATACAGCTGACGCTAATCCTGTATGTTATACATGCTTACAGCATGACTCCATATTCAAATGATGTATATGATACGTAGTCATCGCACCTCCGATTAGCACGGTTGGCTACGTACGGTGTGAAATAGATTAAACATGCATACATTATTTCATAAAAGTTAAACTCTCCCTCTCCACGACGACATGAAGTCACGGATAAGAGATTTGTTTTTATTACAATTAACCCAAATATCCGCGGTCGAATTCCACCAGGTCCGGACTGGCCATCGGGGCAGCAGTCCGTACTGTGGGCCGGTCTGTGCGAGAAAATTACAAATGTGGTCAGAGTAAAAATTAAATTAGAATATTGTATTACTTCTGTGTACGCCTCATTGGTTATTTACACTCTCAGTTGGCATTAAGTCCCATTTTCAGCAGCCCCAATGATTCTTATTCATCGGCCCATTTGTTTTTTTGACCAGTCCGAATGAGCCAATGAGATCGCACAGCAAAATCGCGCTAAGACGTCACAGCGCAAAGGTCGTCGCACAACTCGTTTAAAAAAGAAATGTCCATAGCCCAAATTTGGACCGCTGTGTTTATAAATGCCTGGACCGATTTTTTGTTCCCAGTCACTGAAAACGAGTTGGGACCTAGCCATGTGTAAGGACCCTCCACTGATGCCCCAACAAAGGTCTGCAGGACCAGCGACCAGGGGGGCAGTGGCTTCTTGCTGGCGCCCGAGCCCAGCTGTTCCAGCGGTCAAAGGGCACAAGTGGTGGAGAGCTGAGGGGGTCATACCCCCCCCCCCCGCCCCCGAAGGTGCCAGCCTGGGGTGAACCTTTGGCGAGTTGTAAGGTTCATCTCCTGGAACGTCCTAACTCTGGGAGATGATGATACCTTGGCCCTCCTATCAAAAGGAACTGCGCAGACTAACGGCCAAAGTGGCCGCCCTGTTTGAGGTGTTGTCACAATGGGGAGGTCAAGGTCAGTCGTGGTGGTTAGACCACTGCTGCTCGGGCTGCCTGGGGGGGTGAACACCAGCATTGGGTGGCCACTGTGGTTGAGGGTGCTCTAGTTCCCCTGGTGGTTATGGGTCACTGCGGTCAGTGAGTGGACAATGATGACGACGATGAAGCTGAGGCGCTCTTTTGGGTGCCTCTTACCACTGTCTACGCTCCCAACGAGGTGAGTGATCTTGAGGACAAGCAAACCTATGCTATGCTTCACCACTCAGACTCACTGGTGAACACGTGTCCCACTTAAGATGCCCTTGGTTGTCCGCGGAGACTTCAGTGCGGAAACTGGCACCTCCGATGAGCACGTTTGGCTACTTATGGTGCGAAAGACGTTCAACATACATACAGACAGGATTGCCTATGAGATGGGCATCAGTCCACATGGGTCAGGGGCCAAGAATAGCGATGGTCACTAAAGAAGGCACTGAGGGCCCGGCTGAATGCCTTCGTTACGAGTGTATGTGTAGTGAGTCCAACTGAGTCGCAGGCGTTATCTTAGGAGCAACACTATTTATTTACACAACGGTACGTAACATAACACAATCTACGCTCGGGTCTCGAATGCCCATCTAACCACGCTACGGCAGAACTAGACACGGTTCGCTATCCCGGTCCGGACCACAAGCTGGGTCCTGGACCGCGTGGCTAGGGGCTTCTTCTCCCCGACGTGGATCTTTGTAACACCAGCACACGAAGAGTCGAGCTCCTCACGGGGCCCTTGTTATATCCCCCCAGGCTGGAGCTGGCTCCGCCCTTCGCCCCGCCCATCTTCCAGGCTTCTCGAGCTCCTTCTCGAAGGTTCCCGAGAGCTCTTTTGGACCACGTGACCGCCCCATGGCTCCCGTCCACCGGTGGCCCCCCTCCAATATCATCCAGTCACGTGACAGCAGGTCAACCAGCGTATCATGCCCCAAGGTAACCCTGGCTGGCTGACGCTCCCTCTTGCTCCCTCACCGGGAGCCCGCACCGCACACTGCTCGCGGTGCCTCCACGCTAACCAGCGCTCACCCAAGCCCCGCCAGGGCTGGTACTACACCCCGTAACCTGGGCTGCCGCAATGACAACACAATCCGCCGTGGCTTCGTAAGCCCCGGCACCATACAGTGACAGCCACAGTAACTACATATGCATTGTCGAAGGATGCAGTCGCCATTCCATTCATCAGGACCTCAATAACATCCATCGTCATCGCTTGAAGTCACAGCAAGGCCTTTTGGACACCATCCGCTTAACCTTAAAAATGCGAATTCAACCCCCGATGAAGCTCGGAAAACTAAATGGAGTTCAAAATAAACAAACACCTTATTGTGAAAGACTCAACGCAGAAGATCCCTGGGTTTGATCTTCCACCAATCTCATGGCGCACCATAAACCGCATGGCAGATGCAGATACCTGATGCAGGTATCCATGGTCATCCAGAACAGACCGTACAACATATGGCGATGCAATGCCTGATTCACAAATACAAAGGAGACATCGCAACGATCCACTCCGCTGCTCCTGACGCGGTTATCTGGCTTGACCACCTGGATGTGAATCTGTTGTTGTCTCTCTGCACCTACATCAGGAAGTGTGTGCATTCATGATGCCGCGCACGCTGTAAACAACCCAATAATGCAACTAATGATAATAATATCAAACAAATTATCTACCATTTGTGGGGTCATGGGTGGGGGGGTCTCCATAAAATATTCCACGAGAAAGTAAAGCCCTGCTGGTAGGGGATATGCTGACAGTTGATAGGGCTGAGAGGGGGCACTCGAACAGAGGTTGGGACAACTGCTGGAATGCATTCCAACATGCGTTCGTCCTTGGACGTTCTGTATTCAATGAGAAATGTGATAGGCGTCAGATATCACTCCCCGACCACCGTTCTTGATTTCCAGGAACTAAGGTCGTCCCGAGTTCATAGCGCAGTGTGCTAACCACTGGGCCACCACTCTATCCCCCAGTAAATGCATTTTATGCGTACAGTGAGGGAAAAAAGTATTTGATCCCCTGCTGATTTTGTACGTTTGCCCACTGACAAAGAAATGATCAGTTTATAATTTTAATGGTAGGTTTAATTGAACAGTGAGAGACAGAATAACAACAAGAAAATCCATAAAAACGCATGTCAAAAATGTTATAAATTGATTTGCATTTTAATGAGGGAAAAAAGTATTTGACCCCCTCTCAATCACAAAGATTTCTGGCTCCCAGGTGTGTTTTATAGAGGTAACGAGCTGAGATTAGGAGCACACTCTTAAAGGGAGTGCCCCTAATCTCAGCTTGGTACCTGTATAAAAGACACCTTTATGAGACCTCCTTTGCCAATAACAAGATATAGTAATAGGTTTTACTCTTTTAAGTGGCACAAAAAACTGACACCTTTATTCAAGGCATCATGTCTGCAATAACCGCAACACAAGCAGTCAAAATGCAAACAAAAAGACAACTCTGATAATAATATGCACTGTCCTTGAATTTGATTGGTCCACACCCGAGACAGCTTTCTTTAGAGCCTAGTCTCCATTGGTGTTGGACCAGAAGACGCCAAAAGGCGTACAACTCAAAAACAGCACACTATCAGAGTATTGAGGGCTCGGGGTGAGCATTTACATTATGAGACCTCCTTTGCCAGTAACAAGATATAGTAATAGGTTTTACCCTTTTGTGCCAGTTAAAAGGGTAAAACCTATTACTATATCTTGTTACTGGCAAAGGAGGTCTCATAATGTAAATGCTCACCCCGAGCCCTCAATACTCTGATAGTGTGCTGTTTTTGAGTTGTACGCCTTTTGGCGTCTTCTGGTCCAATATCAATGGAGACTAGGCTCTAAAGAAAGCCGTCTCGGGTGTGGACCAATCAAATTCAAGGACAGTGCATATTATTATCAGAGTTGTCTTTTTGTTTGCATTTTGACTGCTTGTGTTGCGGTTATTGCAGACATGATGCCTTGAATAAAGGTATCAGTTTGTTGTGCCAGTTAAAAGGGTAAAACCTATTACTATAAAAGACACCTGTCCACAGAATCAATCAATCAATCAGATTCCAAACTCTCCACCATGGCCAAGATCAAAGAGCTCTCCAAGGATGTCAGGGACAAGATTGTAGACCTACACAAGGCTGGAATGGGCTACAAGACCATTGCTAAGCAGCTTGGTGAAAAGGTGACATTTGGTGCGAATATTCACAAATGGAATAAACACAAAAGAACTGTCAATCTCCCTCGGCCTGGGGCTCCATGCAAGATCTCACCTCGTGGAGTTGCAATGATCATGAGAAAGGTGAGGAATCAGCCCAGAACTACACGGGAGGATCTTGTCAATGATCTCAAGGCAGGTGGGACCATAGTCACCAATAAAACAATTGGTAACACACTACGCCGTGAAGGACTAAATCCTGCAGCACCTGCAAGGTCCCCCTGCTCAAGAAAGCACATATACATGCCCGTCTGAAGTTTGCCGATGAACATCTGAATGATTCAGAGGACAACTGGGTGAAAGTGTTGTAGTCAGATGAGACCAAAATGGAGCTTTTTGGCATCAACTCAACTCGCCTTGTTTGGAGGAGGAGGAATGCTGCCTATGGCCCCAAGAACACCATCCCCACCGTCAAACATGGAGGTGGAAACACTATGCTTTGGGGGTGTTTTTCTGCTAAGGGGACAGGACAACTTCACCGCATCAAAGGGACGATGGACGGGGCCATGTACCATCAAATCTTGGGTGAGAACCTCCTTCTCTCAGCCAGGGCATTGAAAATGGGTCGTGGATGGGTAATCCAGCATGCCAATGACCCAAAACACACGGCCAAGGCAACAAAGGAGTGGCTCAAGAAGAAGCACATTAAGGTCCTGGAGTGGCCTAGCCAGTCTCCCGACCTTAATCCCATAGAAAATCTGTGGAGGGAGCTGAAGGTTCGAGTTGCCAAATGTCAGTCTCGAAACCTTAATGACTTGGAGAAGATCTGCAAAGAGGAGTGGGACAAAATCCCTCCTGAGATGTGTGCAAACCTGGTGGCCAACTGCAAGAAACGTCTGACCTCTGTGATTGCCAACAAGGGTTTTGCCACCAAGTACTAAGTCATGTTTTGCAGAGGGGTCAAATACTTATTTCCCTCATTAAAATGCAAATCAATTTATAACATTTTTGACATGCGTTTCTCTGGATTGTGTTGTTGTTATTCTGTCTCTCACTGTTCAAATAAACCTACCATTAAAATTATAGACTGATCATTTCTTTGTCAGTGGGCAAACGTACAAAATCAGCAGGGGATCAAATACTTTTTTTCCCTCACTGTACACATTAATCAGTAACAATTAAAAACTACTGGAGATCTGTGAAAAAAGAGCTTAATATCTCATCGGATTCGTCCAGTATAAAATATTTTGTATAGCAATAACAGTGTGCAGTTCAGCCAAATTGCCTCGGGGCAAGGCTTGTTGTTTGTGCGCAAAAACTGAACTGAGCAGTTTCATTTGTTATGACAGGGACACGTCATAAGAAACATTCAAAGTAGCAAGCGACACGTTGAAGTTTAATTACGTCATGAAAATGTCTTAAGCAACCGGTGAGGCGCTTTACTGGTCAGAAAATGATCAACACATTGCCACGTGTAAATGATACGTGTCTATGTGGCAATTTTGACGGATCGTGGAGGGTTAGTGACAAGAAATCCGGCGGAAAACTAACCGAAAAACAGCAGTCCATTGTATCATGGGGCCTTTTACTCAGTATCGCTGTTCGCCTTTTGGCGTTCTCTGGTCTGACACTGCTGAGACTAGGCTATAAAGAAAGTCATCTCTGAGGTAGGCCAATCAGTTTCAAAGACCATGCATATATTTTAGACCATGTTTGTTTGCACGTTCACCACAAATGTGTGGTTAATGCAGACTTGATTCCTTGCAAAAGGTGTTTGAACATCTTAACACCTGTTTTATTGCCAGAAAGTGTAAAACCTACTCTTATTTTTCAGTGGTTCATTGCATTGGCTTCAAAAACCAACGTAAGTTACAGACGAGGCAATTCAATCCACAGACTACTCAAATAATGTGAAGCTATACAGAGTGCCCTAGAGCTACCTTTCGTGAATAAAGAATAAGAATTAGGAAAACTGTCTCCTGTGATAGTGATCAGCACAGCTTAGTTGCATGCAATCTATACGCGGACGTGTCTGCAAATCAGTTGCGGGCAGTTCCTGATGCAAATGAGACTCGTCTCTTCTTGGGCCCTTGTTCTTCGCACCTGGTTCAATCAACAAAGTAATATTTTAAAACGTTCCGGTTTTTATATCTCAGAGGTGGCAACACTACGAGGGATGGGGGGGGGTCCCCCCCATGTCGCTCACTCAGCTCTGCGCATGCGCAGTGGCGCGCGAAGCGGCGGCGGGAAACCCCCAGCACGCGCCGCGATTCTCAATGAGGGTTCCGCGTGACGTCACCCCAGGGGGAGGAGGTGGGGGGCGGAGAAGGGGGTTGGGGAGAGGTTACGCCCATAACCCAGTTCTGGCCAATAAAAACGCGCGTCTCTCCGAGAAGACCTCGGCTC